CTATTCTATTCTATTCTATTCTATTCTATTCTATTCTATTCTATTCTGAATTCTGTTCTATTCCATTCCATTGTATTCTGTCCTGCTGTTTTATTCTAGTCTCTATTTTATTCTACTTTATTCTATTCTGATTCTATTCGATTCCTATTCTATTCTATTCTATTCTATTCTATTCTATTCTATTCTATTGCATTCTTTCATTCATTCCATCTATTCTATTCTATTCTATTCTATTCTATTCTATTCTATTCTATTCTATTCTATTCTCTATTCTCTATTCTCTATTCTAATTCTACTCTACTCTATTCTATTCTAAATAATCAAGGAGAGAAGCAACCTGGAATTAAGGGGAAACTTCCTAATAGTGATGACAATTAACCAGTGGAACTGCTTGCCACCAGAAGTTATGAATGCTCCATCACTGGAGGTTTTAAAAGAAAGACTGGACAACCACTTGTCTGACATGGGATAGGGCTTCCTGCCTGAGCAGGGGGTTGGACTAGAAGACCTCCAAGGTCCCTTCCAGCTCTATTCTGATTGATTGATTGATCATTTCCTTTGCAGTAAATGTATGCGAGATTACAACATTCATCTCTGGAGCAGAGGCCTTCCAAACCTGGCAACTATAAAGACTTGTGGGCTTCAATTCCCAGAATTCCCCAGCCAGCCATGCTTGAAGTGTGCAAGTTGCCAAGTTGCCAAGGGCAACCTTGGGCATTTGATGGCTCCCGGGCTACATCCGTCCCTTGGGCTGTCCCTCTCCAGCCGGGCGAGATCAATCAAAATTTAGAAATCAAATATAAATAAGGATACAACCACACAAGCAATAGAACTCCATTGCTTTGTATTTTGAAGGCAACTGCCCCTGTTGGGATCTGATTCGGAGGGGGAGGTCGAGCAGCTGAAGGGAGTGGGAGTGTGGCTCTGGTGGCTGTGGAGGAAACTGGGGAAGGGCACAGTCCGGCTGGGCATTCAGAAGAAAACCAGGCCCACGCCCTCTTCATCCTAGGGCACACAGGGAGGAATGGAGAAGGGAGCAATGTGAGTGGCATGGCTTACGGGGGAGGAAAGGGCCCTGATTCCCTTCATTAGCCACAGCTGGGAAAACAGGATAAAGAGGGTGGTTTGCGCACAGCACCTTGCTGGAAGCAAAGTGTGCATTATCTTTGTTTGTCAAGTCTTATCGGGGTTCTGGCGTCCTCCCAACGGTGGGTGTTTTGAATTCTGCAACTCCTTATCCTGCCCTGTCTCGTTCATTGCTGCAGCTTTGTGGTTTGTGTTGGTTTTTATTTATAATTTATATCTGCTTTGAGTTCGGACGGAATTTCTTCCTTTTGAAAACTGTTCTTGGGAGAGTTTTCTTTTCTCCAGCCGATGATAACTGGACATTGGGGGCCAAGTTGGAGGCATTAAAAGGACTTTACCTACTTTTGTGACTTTGTTGCTTTTGTGCCACGCCCCTTTGGGTCATCACACCAACTATATGTTTTAAGAATTGACACCTGGGCTTGTGTGCCTTCGCACCTTCGCAGCTCTCTTATTTCGGGCCCTCCACCAAAGTCCCAGAGTCTCTTATGGCCCCTTGGAAAAATTGCCCACCTAAATTCTCCAAAACCAAACAGAACAAAACCTTCCAGGCAGTCCTCGACCTACGACCACAACAACTGAGCCCAACATTTCAGTTGCTAAGTGAGACATTGGTTAAGGGAGTTTGGTTCCATTTTAACTCCTTTCTCAGCGCAGCTGCTAAGCGAATCTGGCTTCCTACGTTGATTTTGCTTGTCCGACGGTTGTAAAAAGGGGATCGTGTGACCCAGGGACGCTGCGAACCGTCATAAATATGAGTTGCTGAGGTCTGAATTTTGATTGTGCAATCCCAGGGACATCGTAATGGTTGTAAGGGTGAAAATGGTCCTAAATCAGGTTTTTTGTGACCCGGGGATACTGCGACCATCATAAATATGAGTTGCTGAGGTCTGAATTTTGATTGTGCGATCCCAGGGACACCGTAATGGTCGTAAGGGTGAAAATGGTCCTAAATCAGGTTTTTTGGGGGTGCCATGGTAACGGTTATGGCCCACATCAGACTCGGACAGTGAGGAGGTTGGATAACAACATGGGCCAGCCCTGGAGTCTGGGGGAGCCTCTGATGAGGGCTCTGTGTCGGAGGCAGAGATGGGGGCCACGGCCGTCCGACAGTTATCAGCTGCCTTCGGAGTCGGAGATCAGTGGGGAAGAAGAACAGCTGGAGCCTGTTCCCAGTGTGCTCATGCACAGAGCTGCCAGATGAAGGGAACAGCTGTGGAACAAGGGTTGACGTGGGAGTAAAATCACAGGTGGACAGTGAATGGCCCCTCCCAGAGGGAATAAAGAGGAGCGAAAGGGGGAGGGGGGTTTGCAGGGAGGAGGAGTGTGGTGTTCTCTAAGGTTGATAGACAAATATTTGTTGCCCAACTAGGTAACATCATCAGTGCTCAAAGAGTCAGGTTTGCATTCATTACCAGTTGTTGTGGCTCGACAGTGGACAATGGAGCTGGCAGCAGATTCAGACAGTAAGGAGGTTGGGAGGAACCTGGGCCAGTCTTGGAGTTTGGGGAAGGCTCGGACGAGGGCTCTGCGTCGGAGGCAGAGATGGGGCCAGGGCTGTCTGACAGTTATCAGCTGTCTTTGGAGTCGGAGATCACTGGGGAAGAAGAACAGCTGGAGCCTGTTCCCGGTGTGCTCATGCAGTAAAGCCACCAGTGGATGGTGAATGGCCCTTCCCATAGGGAATAAAAGAGGAGCGAAAGGCGGGTGGGGTTTGCAGGAGACAATTCGTTCAATTCATGAGGGTGAAGATCTGTGCCTGACTCCTTGCCAAGTATTTGCTGCTACAGCGTGGCGTTTGGGAGCTATCGGCCTGGCAACTCTCCTAGCCCGATAAAGGTCTGTGGTTGTAAATTCACCCTTGCAAGACTGTTTGCCAGGACTTTGCTGGATGCGAATGAGAGGAATTCACATGAGCCTAAATAAAAGGGGTTTTGTCGGGACGAGGAGTCGGCTTCGTGCTTTTGGGAAGCCCGGGTCAGAACAGTAACTTCGAACGGTCCCTAAACGAACGGTCGTAAGTCAAGGACTACCTGTACGGTGAATTGAGCAACATGAAAAACGCATTGAAGCGCATTTACCCTGGCGGTATCCAAAAGCTGCAACAATTCGTCCCGACTGGAAGGATTCAGGGAGGTGTTTACCCAGGTCAAATGTCCTAAAAACTGAGGGGAGGAAAAATAAAGAGGGAAAAAAATGAGAAAAGATCAGAACGAAAGAGGAATCAACTTGAATTATTTTTTATTTTATTTTTTAAAGGCAGAATTTACAAGTTAGCACAGATTGCGCGACTCAGGAACAAATATTTCTCTTTGTTTTAGGCCGCCTTCCTCATTCGTCTGCTAATAACTTTGGGTGGGGTTTTTTTTTGGCATGGATCGGGGCTGGGGGAGAGAGGGAAAAAATTGTTTTTGCCTGCAGAGCCTTTTCAAAATTTGGCCTGAAAAGGTCTAGGACAGTGGTTGCCAACCATTGGGCCGGGGAACACGGGTGGCCTGTGAGAAAATTTTGTTGGTCCACAGAGAAATGTACCCACCCCGCCTCAAAGCAATGAATCCAGGCTGTGCGGGAACACAAGGCTGCGCCGCCCACATGGCCCACGTGGGAACACAAGGCTTGCGTCACTTGCAGTGCAAACAACACGAAGTAGTGAGGGGAAAGGACGAAGAGGGAGAACTTGCCCCACACGCCTGGCCTGGCCGCTGGGCTGCTTCTTTCCGCTTCTTTCTTCTTCTGCTTTTGGCTGCATGCAAGGAAAGCAGCCAAAGTCTTTCTTTCTCTCCCCCAAACTCTGCCAGAAATGAGCCTTGGGGACCCTGCATGGCCTCCTGCTCCAAGAGGCTGCGCCGGCAAAGACTACTTTCTGGCAGAGTTTGGGGGAGAGAAAGAAAGACTTCTGCGGCTTCTGCTGCTTTCCTTGCATGAAGCTAAAAGTGTCTCCCTCTCTCTCTTTCTCTCCCCCTGAGAACGGAGCTGGAGACGGTATCCTACGATCCCAAATAAAGAACGATCGACCGGTAGGAAAACGGGGTGGGGGAACTTTCCTGCAGACTTTTGGGGGGATTTTCCCAGGGTCTCTGCTCCGCGGGATTTAAAAGTATGGGTTTGGGAGTCCCTGAGGCCCAAAAGGTTGGCGACCCCTGGTCTAGAGTCGTTGGGTCATGAAACATCTGAAAACAAACAACCACGTTCAGAGGTACCGAGGACCCCACCGTTCAACGCTGAGCTGCAAATAATCCCCATATGAAGAACAGTCGCTGGAATTGGGTATATTTAGTTTGATGAAAAGAAGGACCAGGGGAGACAGGATAGCAACCTTCCAGTAGTTGAGGGGCTGCCACAGAGAGGAGGGAAGGGGGTCAAGCTATTCTCCAAAGCCCCCAAAGGCAGGACAAGAAACAACAAAGCAACTAAGGAGAGAAGGAAACCTGGAATTAAGGTTGAGGACAATTAACCCGTGGAACTGCTGGCCACCAGAAGTTGTGAATGCTCCAACACTGGAGGTTTTCAACGATTGGACAACCAACGTTGTTTCATGACCCAACTAGGGGACATCATTAGTATTAGAAGGGAGTGGGATTTGGAAGGGTGAGGAGGAGGAAGAGAAGGAGAAGGGGGAAGGAGGAAGAGGTCTTGGGAGGTCCTTGCTGACCTCAGCTTGGTTGTTTTCATGCAGATATCTCATGACCCAACTAGGTTACATCATCAGTGGTAGAAGGAGTGGGGGGAGGAGGAGGAGGGGAGGGGGAGGAGGAGGACAGGGAGGAGGACGGACTGTGGGGATCCTGGGTGCTCTGTGACCTTGGATATTTTCCTACAGATGTTTCATGACCCAACTAGGGAATATCATCAGTGGTAGAAGGGAGGGTGAGGTTGTGGAGTGGAGGAGGAGGAGGAAAAGAAGAAGAAGTGGGGGGGGGGGGGGGGGGGGGGGGGGGGGGAGGACAATGGCGACTGTGGGCTCCTTGGTGCTCTATGGGCTTGGTGGTTCTCTGGCAGACGTTTGTTGACCCAACTAAGGATCATCATCAGTACTAGAAGGGGGTGGGATTTGCAGAGAAGAGTAGAAGAGGGGAGGAAGGGAGGATAGGAGGAGGAGGAAGAGGAGGAGGGGGAAGGGAAAGGAGGAGGGGAGGGGGAGGGGGAAGGAAGAGGAAGGCAGGAGAGGAAAATGAGGGTCTTTGGTGCTCTTGGGCTGGGTGGTTTTCTTGCAGAACTTTCATGGCCCAACTAGGGAACATCATCAGTGCTAGAAGGGAAGGGAGAGGAGGAGAAGGAAGGAAGGAAGGAAGGAAGGAAGGAAGGAAGGAAGGAAGGAAGGAAGGAAGGAAGGAAGGAAGGAAGGAAGACTGTGGGGTCCCTCTGACCTTGGATATTTTCTTGCAGATGTTTCATGACCCAACTAGGGAACATCATCAGTGCTAGAAGGGAGGGAGAGGAGGAGAAGGGAGGGAGAGAGGGAGGGAGGGAGGGAGG